AATTATGAACTGAACTAGTTCATTTTAAAATGTGTGAACTGAACTTTGAACTAGTTCACGTAGAAAGAGAACTTTCCCAACACTGGACAAGACCTTATTTACTTTGTAACATTTAAAAAAATATGGATATTTTGATGGCAAAAATGAATGTTAATGTCAACAAGAAACACCAACTTGCCCGAATATATTAAGAAAAATAACAAAAGTGCTTCCATAAGAAATTCATAAAAAACACTCTGAGATTGAAAGAAACACATTTTTTGGTACAACATGACCTTAGAGGCCTCAGTGCTGATACTGGCACTGACATTTTTTTGTTTATATACCTAAATATAATTGTTACCTAGGTTTATTAACTTTTTAACTTTCCCCCTTTTTTTTTTCTTAACTTGAACATTTGAATCATTTGGTGAAAATATCAAAACCCTAATTTTTCATCCTGCTTTAAGCTAACTCAGAGGCTGCTCAGTGGATGAACATTTGATCCCATCATCAGTAGTTAAGTTTCATGGTTAATCACACCAAAGAGGAGATAATCTTCCTCAGTCGTCTGGTTCTTCAGGAGGTCTTTACCTTTTAACTGCTGCTGATTAAAAAGGTGAAGCTGTAGGCAAAGCTCTACCTAAAGCTATTTCCTTCATTCAGATCATCCTCCTCTTCTGTGTCGGTTTCCTGAAATGCCCTCAGAATGCAAATGATCAATTAATTAAAGTTTATTTATCTTATCAGTGGAGTCAGGAGTCACTGATAAGAGACAATGTTTTGCTTGTATTAAGAGGATTTTTTCCCTAAGACGAAGGGCAATCTGTTCCAGTAATGTTCTGAGTTAACAAAATAGTGCATCGTTTGATCAATTCATGTTGCTAGATGTATTAAATGCTGACTGAATAAATGAGAAAATGTTCTTACACATAATTAAACTTATAAGATATAAAACAATAGGAAGCTTTTATAAACAGAAAAAACTAAAATAAGTGAAACTATTATTTCCAATGTAACATGCTGTTAGACTATTTGCCACTTTGCTTCCATGAAGTAGACGCTAACTGTGATATAACCTGTTAGTATAATCCAATCAGTGCTGGGAGAGACTGTACTGCTAGCAGTGCCTTTAAACAGGTAGCTCTGGTTGCTATTAGAGGAGAAACTTTTCTCTATGAAGGGCTTTTTCACACCAAAACATTCCCCATCTAACTGCTAACATGCCTTTTTCTATCATGCTAAACTTTTAGCGTATTGCCCTCCACTTTTCTATCATCATTTCCTTGCCTTCTGAGCACAGCAGAGACGTTAAGCTGCTCCATCATGCAGCACAGGTAAATAGGCACTATTTAGGGGATAAATCAACGAGTGTTTCCAGTGTTTATTTTTACAAACGAAACCACATAAAGTTAATTCTGCACTCTTGTCATGATTAAAAAGTGTAAATAATCCCAACTCACCACAGTTCATGCCTCTGCTTCATGATTTGTATTCTTGCAAATATCAGTGAGGCTCAGTTTAAGGATGAACAGCAGCACCCTCTATTGGATGGCTGTAACATTACAACACTGAGAGAAATGTTTTTTTGCTGGACATTCTGAATTAATTTGGATCAAATCAAATTTCTATTTAATAAAACCCTTAACTGTCTATTAATCCTTATTTTTTTCTTTACATTCCTAGTTTTAAGATATTGTTCCATTTGCTTCTTGTTATTTTAATGGATTGAAATGTCTTTACCTCAGAGAGAGAAAGAGAGAGGCACAAAAAGCGGAGTCGCAGCGGATCTCCAGGCCGCGGCGACAAGCATCGCAGCTGGAGCAAAGACAGAGGAAGCCGCAGCCGAGAGAAGAGGAGCCGCAGCCGGGATCGGAAAAGCCGAGACCGCCGCAGCTCCTCCCGGGAGCACAAGAAACACAGGTCAGTCCTTTTCTGAGACACCACCGTTTACAACACCAACTGCATCATGGGTGACAGTCCTTTAGAAATGCCAGGGCAGAGGAAGCTCACGACTGTTTACGTTTTCCTCCTCCAGCCATTCACCGAGGCGGACAAAAAAGAAAAAGACTTGCAAATACTGGGATGTGCCTCCTCCAGGCTTTGAACACATCACACCAATGCAGTACAAAGCTATGCAAGGTAACCCCCACTCAACAGCTGCCACTATTTTATTTTATTTTACTTTGCACCAATTTTTTTTTTGGTGACTGAATGTTTATTTAAACTGCTGCATCATCTCACATGATTTTTACCATCCATGCATGTTTCTCCTCCAGCGGCGGGTCAGATTCCAACAATAGCTCTGCTGGCAACAGCCACCACCACCGGAGTGGTGGCAGCACCGACACAAGTGCCCATAGTTGGCAGTCAGATGACAAGGCAAGCCAGACGCCTGTATGTTGGAAACATCCCCTTTGGCGTCACAGAGGTAAATGGCTCCCACGCTCACCTGCCGTTTCTGCGTCATTCCTCCTCATGTTGCGTCTTTTCTGTTGCTCAGGAATCGATGGCAGAGTTCTTCAACGCTCAGATGCGCCTGGCAGGCCTTTCACAAGCACCGAGCAACCCTGTTCTGGCTGTTCAGATCAATCAGGATAAAAACTTTGCTTTCCTAGAGGTGAGATTTTCACTGATGATCAGCTGTTAATATTTATTCTGTCTAATCTTAAACGTTGATTTTTATAGAAAGAATTTGTCATTTTTTTCTTCATGAAATATTACATAAAAACAAAAAGCAGTCCATTAGTTGATCATATTAGCAGCAGAGGCAGTGCGATGCTTCATGTGTCAGAAAGGATCTAATGGAAAATTTGGTTTTGATCTGTTTAAAGAGTTAAATCTTTCAAAATCACCTTGTTGGAACTTTTAACTATTTCAGGGTTTCCTCGGGTCATTAAAAGTCATTAAATTATTATTATTCTTAAGGCCTTAATTGGCATTAAAATTCATTAAATCTGATTATCATGGCATTTAAAACGCTTTATTTGAAAAAAAGAAAATATGTTTTTAAAAACAGTTTTGTCAGATATATTATATCGCAATAATATATTTGCGGGGAACTTCTTCCAGTTGATCTCAAAGCCGTATGTTTGGAAAAGAAGCTCAAGGCAGAGAAAAAGTTAGAGAATGGATAAATGCAAATTTCAACAAAAGTGGCTGGAAAACGAGGCATTCAGGACACGGCTGCAGCCTTTGGCGCTAAAGATGATGAAGGTTTATTTCGTTTTATATATATATATATATATATATATATATATACATGGGAGTCATGGGTACTTGTTGATGGCATTAAAATTATTTCTAAGAGCATTAAAAAGCATTTAATTAGAGTTACTCATTCCTGTATAAACCCTGTATATTGCTATGCTATTCATTCATAAACAGCAGGCATAAATTGGTATTTCACTTGATTCATGCATCTCTGAATAATCCTGTATGAGCAGCAGCGCTAACCTGACTCCGCCAGATGGATTTGCTCCGCATATCCACCTGGAAACCTTCCGTTGAAGTAATTTTGGGAAGGGGCGAAAATACTGGTTAGCTGATTGGCCTATGTTGGTGATAGACGGGCCAAATAAACCAATCAGATCAACGAAGCATATGACGTACTAACAGAGCGACGACGAAGAGGAGCCAATTGATAGATCAAACTCTTGGTGAAACCAGTGGGGAGAAGAGCAAAAACATCTTTTCCTCTGAGAAAAGCCTCCAGAGCAGTGTTTTGCTCTTCTTTCAGTGAAGAAATACTCTGTAATTCCCATAAAACTTGCTCGATAGCCACGCTAACGCTAGTTTCATCGGCTGAAGCCGCCATGTTCTTTAGACTGAACTGTCGCGCTTCTCGTTGCGTCACACCTCAACCCGCCTCAAAGCCAACGCTGATTGGACGTTTGTTTGGTGAACGGCTCCAAATTTTCTTTAACGAAGAGTCTCCAGACTGATCTGCGAGTGAAACCTTGAAAGCTCGCGAGATCAGGATGGTCTCACCAGGCTACAGCAGCGCCTTCCTGCCATGAAAACCAGCAGTTAGAAAATATCTACGTATGAATTATCCCACCAGGAAGTAGCTACAGGAAGCTCTGACAGGAAGAGGGACACGGTTACAAAGTAAAACACATTCACTATGTGGAAAAATACTAAATAAAATCTGTTAATCAAACAGGTAAAAAGTCAGTTTTGTAGTTGCACATCACAGTAAGCTTGACAAACTGGTGCAAAAGAAAACTTTACCCATGAGGAGCTCAGGAGGACAGAAAACGGGTAAAATATTGAACCTCACAAAAAACACAATACTGAGGGGCCGACAGAGCAGGTAAACGCGGTGAATCTGTTTCTCCTCTTTCAGAAAAAAAGAAAAACTTAGATAATCTTCCCAGATCTCTCTCTGGGAATCATCTCTCTGCCTCAGTCAGCATGGAAACCAACCTACGACGTTTACTTCATTTTTTTCCTTTTCATTTAACGTAGTTCTCATTATGTAAACATCCTCTATCTGTTCTGTTTTGAGATGCTGCACAGACTCGTTAAGTGGGGCTTTGCTTTGTAGCTAAGCTGGTGTTTTTTAATTTTTCATAATGTCGGAATTTTTTTTTTATTTGTCTATAACACAGAGACAGAAATAAAAAAAATCTGCACAGATCTGCCCATCCTTCCAAGTCAGAGCCTCTCTTTATGCAGTCAGTATGAGATGGAAAGAAATCGGATCGGAGATTAAAAAGTCGTACGCAGCCGATGTTTTCAGGCCTTTAGATTTGGGATGAAGAGGCTCATTTATCAGCTAATCTGCTCTTTAGGTTATTTCAAAGTTGTGACGATTAGCTGATTGAACGAGAGAGTTCTGGACTTTGTTCAGCCTCCAGAAGTGGTGTGATACGGTGATGTTGAGAGACTGGCGGCAACCTGACAGGAGAGGCAACTTCATTATGATGGCAAGGGCTTTGCTTTATGGTTGGATGAAAATAACCATATTTTATAACAAATGAATACCCACGTAGTTCTAAAGGCATAGTTTCACCGTATAAATACCTGTATGTTACTTTCAAAGGCTTAAAAAGCTTGATTGTGTCATGATTTTACTAAAGTTCAGACCCAAATGCAGAAGACCAAACGGGGAGACCAGGGGAAAAGGCTTAACAGGTTTTATTGAAGAGATAATGCAGAGAGAAGTGTTGCTCTGAACACTGCTCAACCGGAACTGAAAAGTGAGGGGAAGACACAGCGATTAGTTCAGGCTCTGTGGGAAAATAGATTTGTAAACTTGAAGAAGAGGATTTGGTTGCAGACTCACGTTTCCAGAGAAGTTGTTGAATCTTTGACTCCAGTCTGTATGCTGTATTTCCAGTGTTTGTCTGATTCGGTGGAGGGCGGAACAGGGTTTACCCAGAATGCGGTTGTTTGTAGGTGAACGGAGAAGCTGACTGTTACTCCGATTTCCTGTGGTACTTGAACGGGTCGTAATAAAGATGAATCCCTTTCTCTGTGTGAAGCTCAAACGATCTCTTGGGGAAAGTGGATCCAAACCTCCTGTTTGAACCCCAGCTCAGTTTGAAGCTCAGTCGATCCTTCCAGGGAGAGAAGGTCCAAAAAAATCCAGTTAGCAGGAACACTTCCTGCCGAGAGGCAAAAGACAAACAATGTTAAAACTCAGGTTGACAAGAACTCAGTTTGACTCAGCAAAACTCAGCTTGGCTAGAGTACCCAAAACTGGCAAACACTCTGGCGTGGAGGTAGAGGCAGTCAGCAGCTTAAGAGCAGTCCGTTAATGAGGAAACCATCAGCAGGTGTGTGAGGAGGCGGACCAGAACCAGGCGCCTCCTGGTGGAGGAAGGGAGACAAACACAGGAACACAAACACACAGACAGGAGTCCTGACAGATAGAGGACCCTTTAAATATTCTGGACTTAAAAGTATCCTTAGCAGTAAAATCGTATGAATTATTGTAATTGCAGTTAAATACATTTTTTTAACATTTGTTTCATTTCCAAACAAGCTTAGATAGAAGTATTGCGGTTCTTTTGTTTTTGTTCAGTAGCAGAATAAACCACCAGCATCACTGCATGTTTTCCTGTTATTGAACAGGATTTGTTTCCGTCCAGTTCACACAAATCGACCTCTCTTCTAGTTTCGTTCTGTAGATGAGACGACGCAGGCCATGGCCTTCGACGGGATCATTTTCCAGGGTCAGTCGCTGAAGATCAGGCGGCCTCATGATTATCGTCCCTTACCTGGACTCTCAGAACAACCGGCCTTCCATGTTCCAGGTTGGTTTCTGCTTCCTCTCCAGAGCAGTGCTCTCCCATTCTCCTCTGCGGTTTCTGAGCTTCCTCTCTCTGCTCGCTGGCTGCGTAGGTGTCGTCTCCACGGTCGTTCCTGACTCACCTCATAAACTATTCATCGGAGGCCTGCCTAATTACCTCAATGACGACCAGGTATTTCACTGTCAGCAGATGGCACAGGTTCTCTCATTTTCCACTCTTTTCTTTCTCACACACTGAGCTTTTAGTCGCACTGAAACAGGCTTAAAGATCCTTTAGGCTTCCTGTAGGAACATAACATGACGTCATTAAATATGAATTTAGGAATCTTTTACTAAAATAATGTTAAATATTTTAGTGTTGTAATAGCTCCAGCTTTTATGGAGCTAAATTTTTGATATGAAAGATTAATTTGCCATTAGTTATATTAAAGCCAAACAATCTCATGCTAAGGAGATTTCCGTGAAATTAATTGAAACAGATTCAGGGATACGTAGTGATCTCTTCTCAAGGAAAAAGTCCACCTCATTTAGAATTACAAGATAAGCTTTTTATTAACAATTTATTAAATGTGCCTTTCTGGATTTTTTCAGTTGTTTGGTGGTGTTATTATTTATTTTATTTATTTATTTGCTTTGTAATTTCTGCTGAAACTAAAACTGTAACCTTATGCTGTAGTTAATTCTCTGAAAACGGCTTAAACAAAAGCTGAAACAGTTAAGAACAATTACTAATTTAGTCATTGATAAATCAGAGAGTCTAAGACTAGCTTAAAGGAAAACTGTATCAGAACTGAAAAACAAATAAACCTTTTGGATTGAAGATGGAAAAAGATATTTTTCTTTATCAAGGTTTTCTATCTACAACTTCTCATGGGACATAGTTTTAGCTTTGAATTTAGCCTAAAATCATCTTTAGGGAACCTTTTGGTATCTGATTATCAATCAATTAATGGAAAATATAATCAGTAATTTAATTAATCAGCAAAATAATAATCATTTGCGGTTTTTGTTTAAAATAGACATATATTGAGAGGAGTGAACTGAAAGTCTTGTTCCATATTTTAGTCTTTTAAGGGGAGTGTTGGCATAGTGGATAGGGCAGTGCCCTTGTGCTCTGAGGAGGTTGCAAGTAGCCGGTTTGAATCCCGACAGACTGCGACTCTGCGTCCCTGAGCAAGACCTTTAACCTCACACTCTTCCCCGGGCGCCACACAATGGCAGCCCACTGCTCCATAAGTGGATGGGTTAAATGCAGAGAGTTAATTTCCCCATTGTGGGACAATAAAGGGATTTAATTTAAATTTTTTTTTTTTTACATTAAAAATGATTGAGCTGCAATAAATTAAAGGCTACATTTCCACCTAAGGTTTAACTGCTCTCTGTTTTTTGTTACATCAAAACATCTCTGGTTATAAAGTGAGGTTTCGAACTAGGGATGCAAATAATTAATGAACTTATGATTCATTTTCAAATAAAGGTTGATTTAATTAAGATTTATTCCAGCTTGTTAACTTATAGCTTCACCTTGGTGCTGTCGCCATCCAGAAGAGGGCGCTGTGAACTGATCCATTTGTTGTCTGATGGGGGATTTGTTTAATCTATATTGGTAACAAGTATGCAGAATACCATACCAACTTTATTTATGAAGCACTTTATGCACCGAACAGGACCAAAGTGCTGTACACAATCATAAAATACAATATAATTATAAAATAGAAAAAAACTGAGTGTAAAATACTTATTAGTTTACAAACAGAATAAAACAAAGTAAAACCTCCTAAATTGTCCCAAAAGCCAAGGAAAAAAGATGAGAAGGGACTTAAAAACAGCGAGAGACGAGGCCTGTCTTCTGCTCAGAGGCAGATCGTTCCACAGCTTAGGAGCTGCCACAGAAAAAGCACGGTCCCCTCTGAGCTGCATTTTGTCTTTGGGACCCTCAGAAGCAACTGATCAGCTGACCTGAGGGAACGGGAGGGTGTATAAGAATGTAACAGCTCAGACAGATAAGAAGGAGCAAGGCCATTAAGAGTTTTAAAAACAAATAAAAGAATTTTAAAATGTATCCTAAAATGTACTGGCAGCCAGTGTAAGGAAGCTAAAACAGGGGAGATGTGGTCAAATTTTCGTGTACCTGTTAATAGACGTGCAGCAGCATTTTGAACCCTCTGAAGATGAGAAATATACAAGTCACTGACCCCTGTATAAAGTGAGTTGCATTAATCCAGCCGTGTGGTCACAAATGCATGGATCACTGTTTCAAAATGTTGTTTTGATAGAATGGGTTTTACTTTGGCTACCTGCCTTACGTGGAAAAAACTGGACTTTATAACGGCTCTGATGTTTGCTTCCATCTTAAGACCAGCATCCATCTTAACCCCTAAATTAGTAATAATCGGTGGTACCTGACACTTCTGACAATCGCTGTCCTCGGAAAAAATCAGTCAAGGAGAATCCTGCCGACAACGCCACATTGTAGCGGGAAAAAAGTATTCAACTATTCACCCTAGTTAAATAAACAGAGATCGATGGATTTCACTCAGTCGGCACATTTATTCATCAAATCTTTGTAAAGAGACAACAGTTCATCATACAGCCCTAATGGCACAGCATTCAGCCCCGTTCTGCCTGAGCAGCGTTCGTTCCCCTAACTTACAACAATGGAATGTAGTCACAGTCAAAACAAATTACACACACTTTGGTAAACAGTAACATGTTAGGAATAAACCTTGAAAAAGAATCTGGTTTTGTATTTGGAAGAAGCTGTGTCTGGTCTACAAACATCCTCTCGCAGAGAATGGTGTGGCCTTGCAGGTGAATTAGACTGAGTAAGACAAGTTTTAGTGAATAAATAGGATACATTAATATATGAAATAAGAGAAATTTAAATTTTCCGACAACAGGAAGATAGAGGCAAGAAAGAGTGCATGAAAGGAAAGAAATTAAAACAAAACTGCAAAAATAGCCAACAAAGAAAATATACAGTAACTCCTAGAAGTTTGCCTCTATACCTGTATGAAATGAATGGAACACAAAACAGAGAGTGTAACAGCAAAAAGACGACAACAGACAACCTAAGTAAACTTTAACAACAACATCATGAGCAGCGAGGATCCTCTATATTTCCACGTGTGTTGAAGTCAAAACACATTATTTAGGGTGGTATATATCTGCAGCCGCAGCTTAACATTTAGTGTTAGTGTGTATTAGGGGTGGAACTAGGGGTTCGGTTCACGGTTTCGTGGTCACGGTTTTCAGTTCCGTTCAGTATATGTTGATTGTTACCCCGAAATTCCATAAAAATTAATGAAATTAATGAAAAAAATCCCAAAGAATTAATGAATTGTAATTATTTTTAATGATCCGCGGAAACCCTGGATCATTTCCGCATGTTTTGCTGCTTTGAATGTAATCATCTGGCGCATGCTCTCTACGATCTCCAAGGAACTCAGAGCGGAGCGGACGGGAGCCACAGTGGAGGCTGTAGGNTGCTGTCGCCATCCAGAAGAGGGCGCTGTGAACTGATCCATTTGTTGTCTGATGGGGGATTTGTTTAATCTATATTGGTAACAAGTATGCAGAATACCATACCAACTTTATTTATGAAGCACTTTATGCACCGAACAGGACCAAAGTGCTGTACACAATCATAAAATACAATATAATTATAAAATAGAAAAAAACTGAGTGTAAAATACTTATTAGTTTACAAACAGAATAAAACAAAGTAAAACCTCCTAAATTGTCCCAAAAGCCAAGGAAAAAAGATGAGAAGGGACTTAAAAACAGCGAGAGACGAGGCCTGTCTTCTGCTCAGAGGCAGATCGTTCCACAGCTTAGGAGCTGCCACAGAAAAAGCACGGTCCCCTCTGAGCTGCATTTTGTCTTTGGGACCCTCAGAAGCAACTGATCAGCTGACCTGAGGGAACGGGAGGGTGTATAAGAATGTAACAGCTCAGACAGATAAGAAGGAGCAAGGCCATTAAGAGTTTTAAAAACAAATAAAAGAATTTTAAAATGTATCCTAAAATGTACTGGCAGCCAGTGTAAGGAAGCTAAAACAGGGGAGATGTGGTCAAATTTTCGTGTACCTGTTAATAGACGTGCAGCAGCATTTTGAACCCTCTGAAGATGAGAAATATACAAGTCACTGACCCCTGTATAAAGTGAGTTGCATTAATCCAGCCGTGTGGTCACAAATGCATGGATCACTGTTTCAAAATGTTGTTTTGATAGAATGGGTTTTACTTTGGCTACCTGCCTTACGTGGAAAAAACTGGACTTTATAACGGCTCTGATGTTTGCTTCCATCTTAAGACCAGCATCCATCTTAACCCCTAAATTAGTAATAATCGGTGGTACCTGACACTTCTGACAATCGCTGTCCTCGGAAAAAATCAGTCAAGGAGAATCCTGCCGACAACGCCACATTGTAGTGGGAAAAAAGTATTCAACTCTTCACCCTAGTTAAATAAACAGAGATCGATGGATTTCACTCAGTCGGCACATTTATTCATCAAATCTTTGTAAAGAGACAACAGTTCATCATACAGCCCTAATGGCACAGCATTCAGCCCCGTTCTGCCTGAGCAGCGTTCGTTCCCCTAACTTACAACAATGGAATGTAGTCACAGTCAAAACAAATTACACACACTTTGGTAAACAGTAACATGTTAGGAATAAACCTTGAAAAAGAATCTGGTTTTGTATTTGGAAGAAGCTGTGTCTGGTCTACAAACATCCTCTCGCAGAGAATGGTGTGGCCTTGCAGGTGAATTAGACTGAGTAAGACAAGTTTTAGTGAATAAATAGGATACATTAATATATGAAATAAGAGAAATTTAAATTTTCCGACAACAGGAAGATAGAGGCAAGAAAGAGTGCATGAAAGGAAAGAAATTAAAACAAAACTGCAAAAATAGCCAACAAAGAAAATATAAAGTAACTCCTAGAAGTTTGCCTCTATACCTGTATGAAATGAGTGGAACACAAAACAGAGAGTAACAGCAAAAAGACGACAACAGACAACCAAAGTAAACTTTAACAACAACATCATGAGCAGCGAGGATCCTCTATATTTCCACGTGTGTTGAAGTCAAAACACAATATTTAGGGTGGTATATATCTGCAGCCGCAGCTTAACATTTAGTGTTAGTGTGTATAAGTGGTGGAACG